GGAATGTTGATGAGATTGAAGTCCACTCTGGATGAGATTATCTTTTGAAAGCAAGGTTATGTGAAATTCAATAACAACTTAAGGCCTTATCATACCGTGGTGGATGATTCCTTCATCACCTTACACGAAATACAGTGAGCAGAGCTCTTCTATTAGATCTATTTGTAATCTCAATAAACCGACGTATGAGACTACAAATAGTAAAGTGACCGTTAAAACATGAAATGCCCGAATTAGTAGAGCTTCCGCGAATGCAAGCGGCAGCTATAAGTCATCAACTATGGGTTAAATTAATGCATAAAATAGATGGGACTAGTGAGTTTTCCATCAAGTTAAATGAGGCTGATAATTTACGTCTTCGCACTTCGAAGTTGTGCAATAAATAATTAAAATAGAAAGCAACGTATTTCCCCTATTTTTTATCCAGCTATACATCTAGGAGTAAATAAAGTGTCATTAATTCAGTGATAATTAGAAGATCGTTTATATCAAGCTTAGATAACCGCATATTAAGAGAAACTTGGTTGCAAAGAGTCCCATTAATCGTAAATTGGCCTCACCGGAAACAGGAAGGGCATTGTACCATTACCCTTGAATAAATAAATAAATAAATATATATATATATATATATATATATATATATCTGACAAAAGATTGTATGTATTCGTACATCATAGACCCGGCTTCAAAAACAATTTAATCGATCTAATGCGGATCTATGGCTTGTCTCCGAAATTCGGACCTGGTCTGTGCTGTTGAGTCTTGGTAGGAAACATAAAATCGAAGCCTATACGAACCACGTTCAACTCAATCTCACTCGACGATTCGTTAATTCGCCCTGGTCTGCCGCAAGTATTGCCATTGTCACCCAAGGCACATGTGAATTGGTGGTCGGCCAGGGCAACCCGATAGTATAGATACACATTTTAGCGTCGCTATATAGACTTTTCGATAAAAACGTGAATTCTTCCAATACAAATATGGTCATCAGATTGCATTGAAGGCTCAAGGTTATACACATGTCGGTATAGCTAGTTACCGTGAATCGATTCGTCGAAATTCCACCAATCACCTAACAGCATCACTTCTGTTGTGTATATATAAACAGCGGCACAGATGGGCGTCTCGTTGCTCTTTGTTCCCTTCCTTTCTCGTTTCACGTTATGCCTTCTCCTTTCCTCGGAAGATGGGACTTTGTCAAGTCGGAGAACTTCGATGAAATTCTCAAGGCGCTTGACGTCGACCTTGCCTCGAGAGGCCTCGCCAAATTTGCCAAGCCCGAGAACATAATCACCGAGAATGACGGAGTCTACACCATCGAGACGAAAGGACTTAGGACCACCAAGTCCACCTTTAAAATCGGCGAAAAGTTCTCAGAAGAGACGGCGGACGGGCGAAAAGTGGAGGTGAGCTTTGCTCTTTGAGGATGAGTCATCTTTTACCGATGTGCTCATTCAATTGGTCACCGATGCCTATTCTTTTCCGCCCTTCAGTCGCTCGTCCTGGAGGAGGCGCCTAACAAGTGGGTACACACCCAGGACGACTCAAAAAAGACCACCATCATCATCCGCGAGGTTGACGGCGAGAAGATGAGCATCGTAAGTCGACTTTTTTTGAATTTAACCTCATTCATCAACCAATAACTGACCGTTTTTTTGCAATCATAGTTGATAAAGGTCGACGATGTTGAAGCCCACAGGGAGTACAAAAAGCGCGAATGAAGATGACTCGGTTCGACTGTGTCCACTTTGTGCCCTTGATCTCTGCTACGCAGCAATAAACACTATTTTGCCTTTCTGCTCACTTACATTCGGCGATGGGCTTAGCCTCATCAATCGACATCACCCGGTTTTCACTTGCTATCGAGACGGTCTTTTGAAGAATGCCCCAAAGATTGATGTTGAAGAGATGAGCGGAAGGGACTCGTAAGCTGGTCTCATCGGAAGGCTCGGAGTCGGTTCTGGATGTGTACGTCCTTGTCGGGTCTTCGTCTGTCATGTTGCGAAAATTGTGACTGCACCATACTCTCCCGCGAAAGCGTGTTTCTCGGCCTAGTCGCTCGGGCGACAGTCCCGACTTTTCGTCCAGCCACCGCTTTACTGAGTCAAAGACGGCCAGATAGTGTCAGATGAAGGCCTCGGCCTGAATCCCCCCCTCCTCCCTTGTTTAGAACAGGCCTTAGTGGTCCAACTGGTCACTGTGGCAACAAGGGGGTGCCTTGCGATCACCGTGCGACCAGCTAATCGGGTATCAGCATTGCTAGACTGACTGGGATCGCTTGGGTTGGTCGGGGCTCTGGTCTCTTTGCGCGTGTCGCTATGCTGGGGAGTCTTAGAACTTCGGTCTACAAGCTGGTTGCTATGCCGAATTCCGACATGTCTCTAAGGTTTGTTGTGGTTACATCTCACCAGCTGTTCGGCCCGGTACACGAGACATCCTCCCTCGTTTCCGGTCGAGACGGGCTAAGCTTTTGTCTCTCGTATGATGGCAATTATCACAGTTGAAGCTCGTTCTTGTTAAAACTGTGTCGTTAGGTTGACGGATGTAACTAAGCGGTCGGCATTGAAATGTAACGAGTCAGCTTCTAGTCAGTCCGTAGGCACTGGCCTCCATACCTCAACCAAGTGTTTTGTCTGAGGCTTTCAAATTCGACTTCATACCTTCATCACACACCATCCTAACGGCTTTCGTGTCAGGGATGTGCCGTTGCCCACTTTGCCCCATCGCTTAGTTCTATTGATTTCCAGTTGTGGGCTGAAAGGGGCTTGCTTCTCCAAGGGCTGGCCCACTTAACTCTTGATTGGTGCTTCTACAGTCTGGCCAGCAGAACGAAAGTCCACCGTGCATCGAGTCTGTCCAACAAAGCCAGACTGGGACAGTTCCGCTTTTATTGCAACTGGTGCAGTCGACGCTGTGCCGGGGCTACCTCTCGCGGGGAAGTTGGCCTGTACCAGAGACCGAAAAGCGATCGGTATGGTCTCTTCCGCAAGAATTGTACTAAGTCCACGGTCCGACTGCTATAGCAGAAATCTTCGGAAAAGTTTCGTCCAACTAAGTCGCTCTAGCAAAACGACCAAATGGCGAAAACTGCG